ACCCGGGGAGGGCCGAGCAGACAAAAGAACAGCGCAGGGTCCTGTGTCGTTCCTCCATGAAGACAGGGAGCGACAAGGGGGAAAAAAAGAAAAGAAAGCAAGCAAGAGGTGGGATGAAGAGAAATAAAGAAAAGAAAGAGGCTGGGGGCAGGGGACTGGCTTCGGTGGGCCGGAGCTCATCAGATGAGTCCTTAAACAGAACTAACCTTTTCCTGGAGGGAGGGAGAACTAGAAGTGTCAGACTCAACCCCAGCAAGAGTTCACTGAGAAACCGAGAGATGGAGGGGCCGTGGACAGTGGCCACTAGGAGCAGGGAGTTCATCAGGGAACAAGGACTTTGGTCCTTCCAGTCCATGAACTGAATCCTACACCAACCTAAGGAAGTTCAGAAGCTTATGCTTTGAAACCTGCAGATGAGAACTGAGCCTGGCAGACGCCTGGAGGGCGAGACCCCGAGAGGAGGACCTAAGTGAGCTGCACTTGAACTTCTGCCCTACTGAATGGAGAGCTTTGAAAATGGGCGTTTTCAGCTTCTACCTCTGCGGTAAACTGTTAGACAACAGAGGAAAATGAAGAAACTAATACAATGGTATTCCAGTTAAATGTGGCTTAGGATTTTTTTTTAAAGACTTATTTATTTATCTGAAAGGCTGACAGAGACAGAGGGAGAGATGTAAAGGGAGAGACCTTCCATCCACTAGTTCGCTCCCCAAGGGGCCACAATGGCTGAGACTGGGCAGGCTGAAGCCAGGAGGTGGGATCATCATCTGGTATTCCCACATGGGTGTAGAGGCCCAAGCATTTGGGCCATTCTCTGCTGCTTTCCCTGGATGGGAAGAGCAGCCAGGACTCCAAGTGGTGCCTTTATGGAATGCAGGAGGCAGCTGAACACACTGTGCCACAACACTGGTCCCAGGATTCACATCTGTAAAGTTGACTCTTACTGATTCATTTTAAAGTGAGAAAAAGAAATACCTTCACTCCTTCAATGCCTGCAACACTGAGGGTAGGCTAGCGAAAGCCAGGACCGAGGAAAACCATCCAGGTCTCCCATCCAGGTGGCAAGGACCCAAATGCTTGAGCCTTCATCCGCTGCCTCCCAGGGTGCACACTGGCAGGAAGCTGGATTGGGAGCAGAGATGGGTGTCCATACCAGGGGCTCTATATGGAACGTGGGACAGCCTAAGCCGGGGCTTAACGCACTGTACCACAATGCTCACCCCGGAAGTATTTTTCAAAAGACCTTTTCCTCTTGTCTCCTCTGTTCCTGCCTCTCTCTAATGCCTTGATCTGCTTGCCCGCCACGCAATTATTTCATTGACTCTTAACTGGAAAATTCCGTTTTGGTAGATTAAAAACTTCCCTCCTATCACACTGGGCTATCTCTTTTCCCTCCTTATGGTTGATTTGAGATGCAGAGGCATGTGAGTCTTGGGGATGTTATACACATGTTTAAGGCTGGACAATCAAACCAGAAAACATAGATTTCAAGAATGAAAGCAAACAATCTGTATTTTGAAGTAACTCAGATATGTTTCACTCACTGCCTCCAGTTATTTGGAAACACAGCAACCTTGTCATAATGGTCGAAGACAAAGGAAAAGCACTGTACGCATAAATGCCTGAACATTTTAATATCTTTTATCAATAAACATTACTAGAATGCCACGCATGCGAATCCATGCTTCTGCCCAGGAAAACCTGCATCCTATCTTTCGTTTCCTGATATTGCAGCTGGATCTTATTACCAGGGTAGGATGCACCATGGGAAGCATACATAAACTTTTTAAACTACAAAAGGAGAGGTGATCTTCACCAATCAGAGGTCTAGATTATACAGATGGACCACTGATTAGTACACACAGCATATTGAAAAACACCATTTTGTGGCTTGTGGGTAACTCCACTGCGGAAATTTAGCTAAGCCGCACTATTAACCACAAAGGCAGGATTCGGTGTCAGGTCAAGAATCAGATCACATTGTGACTGTGGTCGAGAGTCGAGAGGATGCCCTACAGCAAAGGGAACTGCGCACGCAGCACGTCGTCTTCCTAACATTTAATTCAGGAAAAATGTCACCTCCAGCACAGCTGATCCCAGCGTAACTACGTCATGCAGACACGTGGACATGTTAACAAGTCAATGATGCCTAAGACTCACCATTTAAAACGCACCTTCTCTGTCTTTGTGAAAGCCATGGAACTGGACTAAGAGAGAAGCTCTTAGACTTGAGCAAACGTGGATGACGGGTCTTAGAATGTGTGTATAGATCACAAACACTCATCTGAATAATGATTAGCTTTTTTTTTTTTTTTTCAATAAAAAAAGGAAGAGCTCCTGGGAATAGAGACACTTTAAAGGTTGTAATGTGGAAACACTTCAGGATCTGGGGGTCCAGGTAAATCATGATTTAGCTTTTACCAATGATAACCCAAGTCCTTGCAGGTGCCAAAGTCAGCCCCAAAGAAAAGCTATTACAGAGCAATTATGCTAAGTAATTATCATCTGTGTTCCAACTTCTTCTACCTGTGTCTTTGCCACGTGCATAATTACGCAGAGAGAAAACACTCCAAGCTCAGATGCAATAAAGGACTTCAGTGGATGCCCACACGGACCTTGTCAAGTAGCCAATGACTTGCCCTTTCATTGTGAGTGACGCATATCAGCGCTAGCTCTAAAGAAAGACACTTTTCATAATCTCCCAACAATCTGCTAAGTGAAAACATATGGATGGGCTTAGGCAAAGCCTGCCAGGGGTCTTTGCTGAATGGAAAACAGGTGCTTCCATTCTGCGCCACGTAATACCCCATTTACCCCCAAGTCCAAAGGTTATAGGACTAATAGCTGCCTTGTGGTACTCAGGGAAAAGCCAGGCACCGGCTCTGGTGAAACATCTGGGACATATTTTACATACTTGCAACATATGCTTCAGGTTCAATTAAAGTGAGGCTTTGGCACATTTATTAATCTTTTTTACTTTTATCCTATAAGAGGACCCACTGACCTGACCCCACTATTATACCATATGAGAAAACAGAGAAATAATGAGAGCTAGAGGTCAGTACCTGCTCGTATGGCAAAAAATACATTTGTTTTCTCATGAAATTCCATTACACATGACTCTCTACACAAACTTTCAATAGGGAAAGCAATGCATTTTTTTTTTTAAGTAGGAAATTACCCTTCTGCCACTCCGACACGCTGATAGCCAGGACTTAAGCACGTGCGCTGCTTGAGCCAGGCAGGAGACCGAAGCAGCCACCCGGGTAGTGGCAGGGGCCTCTATGCCCATCACGTCCAGTGAAACTTTGCATTTCGAGACCTTCATTCAAAGATTCCTCCCTCTACTATGCAAGCACTTAGACATCTATTGTTAATTACTACATTAGAAATTTATTGTGTCCAGATATGATTTTTTTTCCTTTTTTTTTTCTTTTCTTGACAGGCAGAGTGGACAGTGAGAGAGAGAGAGACAGAGAGAAAGGTCTTCCTTTGCCGTTGGTTCACCCTCCAATGGCCACCACGGCTAGCGTGCTGTGGTCGGCACACCGCGCTGATCCAAAGGCAGGAGCCAGGTGCTTATCCTGGTCTCCCATGGGGTACAGGGCCCAAGCACTTGGGCCATCCTCCACTGCACTCCCTGGCCACAGCAGAGAGCTGGCCTGGAAGAGGGGCAACCGGGACAGAATCTGGCGCCCCGACCGGGACTAGAACCTGGTGTGCTGGCGCCGCAAGGCGGAGGATTAGCCTAGTGAGCCGCGGCGCCGGCCCCGGGTACGATTTTTATGCTATCAATTGCAGTACAAGTAAGAAAATTAAAAAAAAAAAAAACCTCCTTATCAGGCAAATAGAGGATTGGATTTATGAAAATCAGTTCCCGATCTTTTCACAAGCAAAGTTTGTTTGTTGGCACGCCACACAGGAGGACACAATGGAATTCACACAGTAATTCAAACAACTTTGGAAATTGGATCTGAAAACGTGTTGGAACTGCGGTGTCAACTGCAGACAACTGAACACTAGATTCCAAGAGACGCCAGCCCACCCCGGCCTGCTCCACTTCACATCTATGCTTGGATGAGCTGCTTAGCCCCCAGCCAGGTGTGCCCATTTTTTCCCCACACCTAACATACTCTCTATTAAAAAAAAATGACCATCATAGGTAGAGACTGGAAGGATAGGATGTCAACATGTAGCTTAAAAAATACAGGCTGGCTTCAAACAGGGCCATTCAAGTGCTGGACTTCACTCAAGGTTTCCATTTATTAACATTTCTGGGGACACGCACGCTGCGGGGATGGTTCTTTATGGTGGCTTTAATAATAAAGCAGCAACAAGCAAGGGAAAATGGCCATCAATGGGTGGCAGCTCAGTGTTTATCAGCAGAGAAATGATGATTCAGAGCTGGCACAGCGAGTTAAAAATACAAGCTCTCTACAGCTCGACAACTGACCTTAACAATAAATCATATCATTTATTGCCAGAGGTGTAGGCACACATTATTTAACATTAAACACCAGCACCTATGTGTTTCTTTGCAGGAAGGGGATTTTACAGGTTGATGTTTGATGGTATTGCTAATGATTAAGTGATACACAGAAGAAAAATTTCAAATAAATGCTCTACTGATTTTAACATGTTTGAAATAATACCAGTAGGGACAAAGTGTGTGTGTGTGCGCGTGCATTTTCATTTTTGTTCAACTACTGAATATTAGTTAAGAAATAAACTCATCAGGAAGGTTAACTAATCACTCTGATTTTGTCTTCTAATGCTGGCGCCTACAACTAGGATATACCTGCACATCTCTACTGGAATCAAAGTTCAAGGGCATAAATTAACATAACACTGTTTTTGTCCTTCAAGAAGTTCCACTGCTTTGCTGTAACTGAACTTAAGGGAGGTCAAAATCTGCTTCTATTTGCTGAACAATGTGCAAGGATTTCATGACATTCTCAACTCTGCCTTCCCATCTCACCTTGGGATTTTTCACGTTTTAGGTCTGTTAATGCCCAGAGAGGAGGACGTAACAGCACCATTGTCATCCTTATGGAAGAAAGCCGTCCTCCAGCGCTGGCCATGGCTACAGTGGAGCAAGGTCATTCTCATTCCATCCCCCAGCTGTCCCCTCTCTCCAGAGGGCATCCAATCCAAGCAGGCCTAGGGGGCAGCTGCTACTCCCTGTGGTCACCATTCTCAAGTCAACCTCCTCTCTGATGGAGGCTTCCCCACTGGAGGGAGCCACCCTCCGTGCCACCCAGTCCAGGCAAGGGCAGTGAGCGCTGGGGTGGCGTAAACGCCCTGCAGAGCCCTCTCCCCACGTGTGATCTTTGGCTGAGCAATTCTTGAAAATTACAGGGCACAGTATCCACCTTCGACTCACACAGGCTGTACTACCCCCTCATCCCCCAAAGCAGAGCCCGATTTGTAATACTCAAGATAGGACACATTTTTGCCCTTCAAAAACAGTTGTCACTGCGGTTATCTTCGCAAGAGCTATCAAGTTCCAGACACACTGATTTTTTTTTTTTTTCCTGGCAGAAAAATATTTGACCCAGCTCTGGACAAAAGCGAGGAGGATTTATAGCCTTCTCTCCCCATTCGCAACATGCAGTGGCATTGTTAGGATGATAAACAGCACTGTCCAATTTTCTGGACTCAAACACTTCAACTCCTTTTTTAACTGTCTGTGAAAACAGTGTCATGTCTACATTTCGCCATCCCCAGGCACCCAAGTGCTGGGAAAGATAATTACCTTGTCATCTTTGTCATCTTCTTCTTCCTCGTCCTCTAGCATGTCCTCCACTACCTGCAGACAGAAACACAAGTCGGTTTTTTTTGTGTGTGTATGCTTTTAAAGGAGAGAATTTTGTCCTGTCAGTTTGAGCCTTTTGGAAGTGAAAACTTTATTAACATGTGAAATACACCCACTGCGAGGGAAGGTTTGATCTAGAGATAGCGATTAGGTGAATGCCTTTAACTGATTAAACCCACAGAACTGAATCGCAGCCAGGGGACCCGATGTATGTGAAATGTTTTGTGACAACTTAAAGGAATTTGAAATGTGCATAAGGTAAACTCACATTAATTTGGGGGATGCTTTAAATCAGGAAATTTCCTTTCTGCCTATTCTGCTGTCTGTCTGAATCAGGCACTCAAAATGTACAACTAGATAACCAAGCACGAAACAGTTCTGCTATTTCAAATTTACTTTTCACCAAACTCTAAGATAAAAGGCCATGTCTGTTAATTGATTCATGCTGGTGGTCTTGGGAATAAAACTAACAATATCTTTTATGGCTCAAATTTTAAATCTAATGTATAAATCTACCGACTACCTCTCTGTTATTTCTGATTTCATGGATTACCCGGCACTCTCATTTTAATTCTCTGAGATTTTACACAAGGATTATGAGAATGGTATCATCAGGAGAAGTGGAAATGTCTTCTACCATCAAATGCATATAATGTGTAAAAGACAGATGTAGGTGAGCCTGCTGCATGTGTATTTTCAATGGCTCCTGGTTCACATACTTCAGCAGAACGGCATAGTCATTTTGGACTTGCTCAATCAATACATAACTGCAGGCACTGAGAGCAGGATTTCACTGCCGTTCAAGGTTATTTTTGAATGGTTTTAGACATTTAGACAAACAAGCATACATTCCGTGGAAATCAAACATTTTTAAAACTTTGGGAAATGAGTGTTAGTCAAGGAAGTTCTAACTTACTGCATTTATGACATTTGTTGTGCTACCTACATTTTTACTGGATTTTACTAGTCTAGTCTGCATATCTACTTCCAAACAGTTTCAATAGAATCATGGTTATCAACTATTTTGAAATTTTTTTTCAAGGTCCATTAACTTTTTTTTTTTTATTAATAGAAATAGTCTGAGTCAAGACTTCAGCAATCAAGACTGTATCATGCAGAGATAAATAAGTCAATATGTCAAGCCTTTCAGTTATTCCCAACTTTCAAATATTCTAAAAGTATGAGTGGATTTAAAGACATACCCCCAATACAAAGGTCCTAGAATCATGAACCAATACATAACCAAATGTACCTGGTGAGCTACAAGAGTGTTCCTCATTCAGTGTCATACTTTCAATCTCCTGTCGCACAGTAGATCCTAGATTCCTGTTACCCTTCATTTGGACACGTAGCATTTCAAAACAACCACAGTGATACAATACTCTGTTTTCTGTAGTGAATGAGAACTTAATGCTTATTTCAGAGGCATATAGGAGTATTTCTAAAACCTCATTGCAAGAAAAATTGATAAATGCTAGTACAAAAATTTTTCCAATTCATGAGTTTTTGTAATATGCATTTTCTATGAACTTGTTGAAGATTCCCTGTACAAAGCAATTAAGCCTCAACAAGTCTTGATGCTCTCCCTAACTATATCCAGTCACTCCACAAGCATTTATTGTAAAGCTCCTTGTCTAAGGCACATAGTACTAGCTAGTGTGGGAATACTATGATCAACAACACACAGGCACCTCATCTGTACTCCTATCAGCCCTCAAGAGGATTATAATTCAATACAGCTTGAATGAGGACCTCAGATAACCTCTCATGATGATTTTTTCATGTCCTTGGAGTATTCACATCATAAATACAGGGGGACTTCTAAAATTTCATGCACATCAAGAAAAAACTGCATGGATTGGAAAAAAAAAATTTGCAAGGTTTAGAAGGGAAAGCAGCCACAGTGATTCATCACACTGTGTCTCATCAAAAAAATTTCTCCAGGAGATAGTATTGTGACTTAGCGGTTAAGTCATCACTTGGTTACAGGAATATTTCAGATTGGAGTGCCATCCGGGTCTCTGGTGCTGTGCCTGAGACAGGAACAGAAGACGGCTGAAGTGCTTGCACCCTGCCTCCCATGTGGGACCCAGCTGGAGTTCATGACTCCAGGCTTCCGCCTGGCCCTGGCTGTTGTGGTCATTTGGGGAGTGAACCAGCAGATGGAAGCCCCCTTGCTCTCCCCCACCTCCCCCTTCCAAATAAACAAATCTTTTAAAAAAGGAAAACATTTTCCAACTTCGGCAATATTTTTAAAAAATGATTATTTTGAACCTCATGTAAAATTATATTTTTGATCTGAATAAATTTTTTTGCTAAAATTACCCATGTAGAATCATATCAGATATGTTGAGGAAAATGAACATCAATTAAAAAAAAAAAGATTTGTTTGAAAGGCAGCATGAGAGAGAGAGAGAGAGAGTGAGAAAGAGAGTGAGAAAGAGAGTGAGAGTGAGAGTGAGTGAGAGAGAGAGAGAGAGAGAGAGAGAGAATATCTTCCACTTGCTGATTCACTCCCCAAATGGCCACAGTGGCCAGGGCTGGACCAGGCCAGAGCCAGGAGCTTCATCCAGGTCTCCCACGTGGATGGCAGGGACCCAAGCACTTGTCACTGCCTGTCACAAGCAGAAGTCTGACCTGCTATGCCACAATGGTGGCCCCTGAAAACCATAGTTTTACTCCTGTGAATTAATTATAACAATGTTGCATTTAGCTTTTATTAAGGATGCATCACACCCCTCCTCCCTGCACTGCCTATCATACAGGAGGTATGCAAAGCCAGGATGGTGTTGGACTGTCCCTAGCAGAGTACAGGGCACAGAGCAGATATGCAAGAAGTATTTTGTTGATTAAATGAACAGAGGAATACATTACTTCGCCTTCCTATATTCAGACACACTTTTGGGTAGGGTGTCGGTCATTTATTTCATGGAATTGACTTGGCTTTCCTGGAAAGATTTCATCAGCAATGTAGATTAATAAAAGCAAATGTACAAAATGCTTTCAAACATTTGTGTGGAATTAGAACCCAGGACTATTTAGCCGTTAAGATTCGGAGATTGCAGCTCTTTTCACATTCATTTTCAAAAACTGAAAATATGGGTGGACCATAAAACCAACCATGAACTCAATTTCCACATTTCACAAATCAGCTGTGGGTCTCACATCCAAGTACAACTCAAAGAGGGCTACGGAATCAGACTCTTCATTTGCAAAACCCAAACTGCTGTTACTCTGCACAAGTGGGTAATTGGCCATGCACAATTGCTCCACCAATGTGCAGCCAGAACCCAACACAACCATTTGCTTTCACATTTGGCCGAGAAGCGCTGTGTCGGTGAGAGGCCTTTGTGCTGTGTTTTAGCACTCTAGTGAGGGCTTTTCCCCTCCTCCAGCGCCTTTTAATGTTACATCATAAACATCTACCAGTGAGGATTTATAATACAGATGGATTCCTACTGATGTCTCGAAGCTGCTTCAGAATGGATCCAACTACTCCATTTTGTGCAGGTGGGGCTAGAGGTGGCTGGGAAATGGAGGTGATAACAGCACCTGTCCCACAGTGTTCATTAAGGCGCCAATGAGATAATGCACATAGAGTGCTCCGCGCCACTGCCACAGCAAATAGGGACTTCTAAGAGTTCACATTCATAAAAGCTAAAGGACATCCACTTGGTGTTTGCAACACTAATTTTTGGAAATTATTACGAAACTTTTCCTGGAGCACAAATTCTGTGTTCTTAACGACAGAAAAACTTCCGATTTGTGTTTTTACTGACGCTAAGACTCCCACGGAAGGGCACAAGTAGAGGCTGTGGATAAAGATCGCAAATGCAAATGCTGCTTTCATGATCTTCAGACATTAATGGTCCAGTGAGACGGACGGCTTTGGAGACAAGAGTGAGTCAGAGGCTGAGCTGTCCTGGAAGACACGAGTGCTAGCCAACGGCAAGGAACACAGAAACTGCCAACTGAGCTTTCAAAAGCAAACTGTATATATCACCAAAGTGCGTTTCATGACTACATTCCCAGAGAACTCAAATAACACCTGCTATTTAGAAAGGGAGCACTGGACTTTAACACTTCACTAAGGAAAACAAATAAAATAAAGGAGTCCTCATCTCAAATTCCAGCTCTTTCCTCTTCAAATAAAACCCAATCAGCACTGCACAGTTTTGTTTTCAAGTATACAAAGTGCAGTTGCCCAAACATTTGTCAGCAATAATTTAATAACACACACATAGATATCCTTGAGGGAAAAGAAAATGAAAAGACAGACAAAATATGCACAAGTTAAAAAATGAGAGACACATTTGCAAAGTTGAGTTCTTTCTTTTTTCTTTAGGCAGAATATCTCAGATCAGCTCTAGAATTCTCTTTCCAAATTATGCTTTCTGATACCTTGCTTGAAAGCAAGTAGTATTAATCAAACAAAGGAAGGGCACTAGGGAAATCAGAAAGATGTAATGCAAGCAGTTAAAAGTGACATGACCTTCTGTAATGTCGCTCGTCACAGACTTATATGCCACACTCTGGAGGAAGGTCTTGAAAGAAACTGATTCTTGAATCAGGTACTATTCCTTGAATGTAATACTAATAAAGATGACATTTTAAAAAACACACAGACGGGCTCAGATGCAGTATGCCAGCTATACTACAGCAAAGAATAAGAAGATAACATTATTTTAAAAAGCATAATATTTCTTCTTCCATATTCACTTTTTGTTGAACATTTGCCATTAACTTATAAAATATATATGGCTGTACATTTTAGAAATCCATTTTCAAAATGAAACAAAATTGCATCTCTAGACTCTATATATCTTCAAAGTTATAGACGAGCTGTTTTAATATAATCAGGCTTAATTAAAATCCAACACAATGAACCACTTTGTGATTTGCAAGCAAGTAAAATGTTATTTGACTGAAATGGTAATGACTATATTGATCATCTTAACAAAAACATGACAATATGTCTAGAATTATTCCTTCAAAACATAAAAGGGAGATAACCATAAGGATACAACAAAAGGAAGGCTATGTTAGATGAGGAAAAGCAGATTCAGGTAAGCTTCATTATCAAAATCATTATGGGATAGTAGATATCAATTATTGCTTTTTAATACAAATCAAGGGTGCATGGTTAAAACTATAATATATAGGAATAATTTTTAAAACACTTGCATGACTATTTTCCTAGGGAAAAAAAATCTTTCATTTATTTAAATCCCTTTAAACAAAAAAGAACCAAAAGAATCCGGGTTACCTTGAACATGCAACCTAAGGACTCAGCACCATGAAGCCAAACACTCGAAAGGCAATGCTGACAAAACCAGTTTCTTTCATGTTCACTTTTTCCCTTGGAAATAATCTTTAAATTACATGGATGTTTTGCTATATTCAGAATGAATAGTTGCACAATTCAAATTGCTCTGCTCAAGCATGTTCTATAAAAACGCATCACATTTAAAGAAGAAATCACTGCTGTCCAGATGTGCAACTGTAGTGTTAAAATATTAAATTGTCACAAAAGTTTCACATTTAAGTTCATATTCATAGAACATCCAAATATGTACAGATGCTTATATTTGGATACATTACAGACTAAATGCCTATTTCCACCCTAGAGATATGGAAAAATTAGGGGAGAGCAGTATTCAACATGATCTGGAGTTCATTTATATCTTTGTGTGTGTGTGTGCGCGCAAACCATGCAAAACATATATTTATGTGTCAATGGATTTATTACACGTGTGAAGTAGAAATTGAAATTATGGAATGTCTGTGGATTGGGAATATGCATATGATCACTTAAATGATTTCAGATTGCTCCAAAATACCAAAGGTCAGGCTGAAGATCTGAGGCCAATAAGATCATTCCAGGTACACCTGTGCAGATATTTTTACTCAGGCACCTGCTTTTCCCAATAAGAAACTATTGCAAAATGAATGGTGCAACCAAACTGCGTATACAATTTATTCCACATTTGTAAGAATAATAAGACTCATACTCAGATCTGAGATACACCATTTCATCCAGGATATCTCAAAAGCAACTGCTTGTACAATGGCTGCTTAGTTTGATTCATGCCATTAAGAATTTGACCTTGAAGTATTTCAGCTACAGTAGTCATCAAGATAACTGAACCACTAGATGTAATAATAATTAGTGTGATAGGCTTGCCAGTGAGGCTGAATATATTGCAATACAAAAGAAGGCAGACTGAAAGAAAAGCATTAGTACTTATTGCTAAAAGACTTCCTGATTTTTACGGAGACACTCAAATACAATTATTTCTTCTCGCATAATGCATTTCCTTGACTCATTCTGGAAAGTGCCATGTTGTAATTTAGTCTGACTCTTAATAGGAAATGTGGCTTTAATGTGGCTATCAGATGGCTTTTGATGCATGCTACTGATTACATACAGCCTGTATTCTGCATCATCAACAATGGCATTCTTATCTGCAGTCTAATATGCTTTGCTGTAAGGTGCAAGGACAGTAAATTTACTTGACTGGCCACGAGTATGTAACCTTTTATTTTCTTAAGTGTCAGCTTAATATGCAGAAAGACCCTTCCATTAAGGAAGGCTAAACAATAGCTAATATATATTCTATAATCAGTGTAAGCATCCTAAATGAATTTCCTCTCATATTTCCTACTCAATATTATTAAAATTTCACTCTTATACTTACATAAAGCATTGTGAACGGAATTCCAGTGTTTATTTGAACTATGTCTCCACCTAAAGGCTTCATGATGTATTGTATTTTTGGGTTGCAGGAAAATACTCTTCTTGGTGTCTTTAGGACACTGCATATTAATTCAATCGAGTAGAGAAAATAGGTCAACTATTAACCTATAATGTGCTTTGTGAATAATAATGCCTTCTTAAAACTATATTATTCATCAGGTTAAAAAAATTAAGAAAGGCTAAAAAATTGAGTTAACGTGCTTTTCCAAGTAAAACTAAAAGATAACTAGTCTCACCAGTGATCTATTCTCTACAATGTAATGTGCTCAGAGCCAAATATTTTATACAACAGGGTTCAAATAAAAATTATATTGTTATATCTCTATGTTTAAAGCCCAGTTTCCAATCCAGAACTACAACTTTGTAGGAAAAAGCAGCATTTGACATGCTTCAAATTTTGAAAACAACCTCGAGAATTTTAAGTGTCTAAGGAAAATTCCACATTGTTTTGTTCAATACATTCTCAGCAGAACAAGCGAGGAAGCCACTGTGACCTTTGTCTGAGTCCCACGTGCTGCCTACCACCTTCTCAGAAATGCACTTTGCTCTGACCCCGTAGGATATATTTGGGAACATTAAAGATGCAATAAGCAGGAGTTCTGTCTCAGGCAAGTATGCAGGTTAGCAAAGGTTTTGCAGGTAAACATCATGCCTTTGGAATATTAGGG